CTTATGGTGTCTTGCACATCTCATCCTTCGCTGTTTTCATGGTCTGAAGTATAGAATTAGCAGTGCTGTAAAAATATGAGGTACATTATTTGTCCTGCTCTTGCATTGGTAGGTCGTAAACACTCAGCACAGGACCTTGAATGTAAATGAGCATTTCTTGAGTATTTGAATGTATATAACCATCAGGAGTTACTGGAAGATAGAGAATCATATCTCTGACTTTTTGCCAGTTTCCCAGGATCCTTAGCATGATGCTAGTACTTAATGAACCACTGTGAATGATATTAAAATTCCATTGTTTTCAGAATTAGATTTTTAGTAGACTAGAAAGTGTTTAGGATAGAAGGTAATAAAAGTACATCTGTTTCCATTTGCTTATAGAAATTGCCAAACTTTCCATTGCTACTTTTTCCCAATTTTAAAAAAATGTTTAATTAAATATTTCTATAATGGGTCATTTAAAAATAAATAAGTTCTATGTATTTATAGAATAAATATGTTCTCCACAGCCATCACTTCCAATAAATAGATATTTCTTTAATAAGTACATACTTTACAAGGTTTTAATCTGCTGCTTCACACTTTAAGCCTAAATTATAAAGTTATCTATGGTTCTAATTTATTATATATAAAAATGACTTATCAGGATAATCCAACTGGAAGCTCAGTTTCAAAAGCATGGTCTTGGAATTTATTTATTTTGTTGATCTTCTGATTTTACTCAGCAAAATATTTCATCACACATACACTATAGTCATATAATAGTTTCTGTTCCTTGATTCCATGGGCTCTTCAGGGTATTGATATGCGTACCTCCTCATGAACCTTGTATTTAATCACGGAAATACAAATTTAAAGAATTGAAAAGCACATTCCTTTGTTATTGGTGTTTATTGTCTGCATTTTGGTTTCCTTCTCAGACTGATTTCCTGTGCTCTCTGCTATTTCCTTTACCCTTTATTTTGTGTGAAATGTGGCCGTCATGGATAGGGAAAAGAATGAGGTAGCACAGTTAATTGTTACAGGCATCGTGGAGTTCCAATTATTCATATTTAGCTAGGTTTTAAAGTCTTCTATAAACATTACAATTTTATAATAACAAGAGCTGTTAATTACTGAAGATTCCCCCGTTTATTACCAACAGTACTCCAGATATTTGACAAGTCTTAGTCTCTTAATGTTTTAATGCTTAAATCCCTATTATTTCACTAAAAATAACAGTGATGTTATCTCTAAAAATACAAAATGATACTTTGTAATTTTGGAGATCCTTTACCTTTTTATTAGCACCATTATTGTAAATGTATTTTTCAGTTTTACTCAATAAGATGAGTTTGAGAATATGTGAATCAAAGTATTCATATACATGTACTCTTTTGGAATAGCCAGTGACTTATGTAATGCTTCTCAGTGTCGTGTAGTATAAAGAGAAATGTCTTTTGATGGAAACAATGCAGGTGTTTTGGAGACAGACTGTTTCCCTCTCTGCAAGGAAGGTATTACTTTTTCTTTTTTTTACAATGTACTTCTGTGCAACTTTCATGTTAACTAAAAGAATGCATTTTAAACACAAAAGTGTCCATTATGTTTTCCTTCCTTGAATGGGAACAGTTTTTAAAATTGGAAATATCTGTTATCTCATTTATCAAATGTCACATTGCGTTTTTGAGGAGTTGGAGTTGGGACGCCAGCTGTGCAGTAGCATGTAAGAGGAATGTTTGCTGCCCGTAAGGCATGCACTTAAGCAATAGAGGAATTTACTTTTCAGTGTCTTCCAAGGCCCATGAGGATGCACACTTATTTATCCAGAGAGTATGGATCTCACATGCGTTTGTCCAGAGGGTGTGACTCTGTGGAAGAGAATACTTACGGGTAAGTATCAAGCTCTCATTGTGTTATGTTCCAGAAAAATATATTTAGAAGTCAATTGATTTTAGCAGTGATAAAATCTCTTAGTCTGTGCTGGTTTCTCAACAGTGGACAGTTCCAGATGTTGAAGTCAGCATAACAAGAGAAAAACCCAAATCCTGATAAGACTTGAGGATTTTTCGAAAATTAAATGCAAACTAGTTGGGGCAAATGTTGCTGCGGGAGTCAAGACTAAGTCATACAGTAAGAAGAATGAAGCCCGGGAGCTCCTCCTGTTCTTCTCTGCATGCAGTTTGCATGTGTGCAGACCCAGGACATAATGACTTTAGGAGGGCAGAATTCAGCTCTTGGAACTTAAAGACAGCAGACTCATGTGAACTGGAATGTAAACTGTGGCCCTCAAAATTTATCTTAATACTGCTGTTCTGTTTCTAAATAAAAGCTATGCCTTCTGAAACCTGTAAGTGATACATACTGGCCACATCAGATCTTTTTAAGTGTTTTCAAATTCAGAGTTGTTAGGGTGGAACAAATGTTTACTTCAGAAACAGTGAAACAAGGGAGGTGGGAGGGTTGGTTTCAGAAACCAGTTACTGCATCTGCTTTATGCCTTTACATTCCTTCTCTTTTCCTCTCAGCCAAAAACTTAGTTGGAAAACCTTGTACAATAACATTTGTGTGTGTGATATGAAAGCTCAGAACAAATCAAAACAAAACAGCCACCTAAATATGTGATAGGTTTTCTGGGAATGAACTAAAGGACCAGAAGCGTTTGCCACAGCAAATGCCACTGCCAAGTCTCCTGCACTATCGCGCGAAGGCTGATGGAAGCCATCCCTGAACCAATGATGAATGGCCAGGCCAGCTCAATGAGGAAGAATCCCTGCTTTGGAGTGCTTTTGCTTTTGGTGGGCAGGAGTTAAACAGTAGAGTTACCAGTTATTAGCCCACTGGTGCTCCACAAAATACTTCACTGCTGTTTCCTCTACTGTAGCATATGTGTGTTACCACCCATTTTATGACTGGCGGTGGTTGGTCCCTCTATCCAAATCAAGGAACCTGGGCTTAGGCTATGAATCATGGTAATGGAGATGTTGGGGCAGCAAATGGCGGAAACAGCTCTTATGGGCATAGTGAAGGATTGAGAATGCATAACTAATGTGAACCAGTTTTGCTTTACCTTCTCATTCTACCAATCCTCAATCTTTAGGGCTCACTTCAGAATCTTTGAAGGAACTTTTTAGGAGATGTGGAAAAATGTATGTGAAGGGAGAGAACATCTAGAGCAGAAAGTTTAGGTGAAAGGGTCTAAGATATTTAGTCATCCAGCAGTTATCTAACTGATGCCTGCTATGTCATAGGACTTGGGTGTCTAATAGTAGACAGACAAAATTTCCTGCAGTCATGGTGCTTATGTTCTAGTTGGAGCATGTAGACCATCAGTGAATGACTATGCTGTTATGTTGGACACTGGTTATGAATAAGCCTGTAAAGGGGGTGATGAGAGTGGGGGTCGGGGTAACTTTCAGCTTAAAATAGAGTAATCAGGGAAGAGCTCATACAAAGATGATAGTTGAGTGGAGGTTTGAAAGAGGTCCGTCACTCACCACATGGCAATCTGGGCAAAGGGGAGATTGAGGACAGGTCCTGTAAGTCACTGAGAGGGCTTTGACTTTGAGTGAGAAGGGAAGCATTGAAGAATTTTGATCAGAAAAGTGACATGATATGACCTACTTCTTAAAAAGAATCTCTCAGCTGTTTATAGAGAATATGTAGCGGGGGCAATAAAATCATGGGCTAGGTGAAGGTTATTAGAATAATTCAGGCTGGAGACGATAGGGGCTTGGGTAGGGTGATAGTGTTAGAAGTGACAAGTGTCAGATTCTTGGTCAGTTTTGAAGGTAGATCCTTCAGGATCTAACTAATCTTTTGGAATGAGGGAATGAGAAAAATTAAAGATGACCCTGAAATTTTGGGCTGAGCAGTTGAAAGGAGAGAGTTGTGATTTACTGTGTACTGAGGTGAGGAAGACTGCTGGAGGGGCAGGCTTTGAGAAGAGGTCAGTTAATGTGTGAGCAAGTGAAGTTCCTACTTGATATCCAGGAGGAGTGTAGACAATGATAATTGGGTATACAGTGGTCATTATTTAAATGTTCATTTTGCACAAAAGTTGGTAAGTCATTAAAAACTTGATTAACTTAAATCTCTATGAAGATGATGCTTTAATTCACATGTTATATACAAGGAGATAATACAAAAGATTAGTTTTCCTAAGATCACAGAAAGAAAAGTTCCATGATGTTCATATGTCCTAGTAACTTAGTTACAAACTAGACTTACAAAGGAATGTCCATAATTGATTGAATGAAAATATTTTTTTTAGCTGCCTTTACATTATGCACACATGTGCACAAACCACAGAGACTTAAAGAAGTATAAGGAATGTCATTGATGAGGTTCACTTAGCATTTTTTTATTTGATGTATTGAAAGCTTATATTCTAATGTAGGATTTAAGTTTGCATATGTACTTAAAAATTTAAATGTGATGGAATGATATTAATATAAGTGATTTTTTAAAAATCAATGTGTTTTAGAAATTCTTTTAAAATGTTTAATTCATGGTAATTTATGTTCTTACCAGTTTGGAAAATATTTGCACACTCATAAGTGTGTTCCTTTTTATAGTAGAGTACATAATTTTATTTTTAAGGCAGCAATATAGATAATGAAAACACATGTGATTGCTTGAGCCTTGGTGTTATTATCCTAGGTAGGATGGCATCTGTATAATACCAGTAGCAAAATGGAAATTCCAGCCCATCAAAAATTCTTACTCTTGTTTAAACGTTTATGTGCCGTTTATAATTGTCACTCAGTAGAGCAATGGAATATTACTTATTTTATAAATTCTTAAGACATTTAAGGTGCCTCTGATCTAATGAGTTAAATTATTAGGAAGAGATTAATATAGTTCTCTTAAAGCAGTAATATGAATTACACATTCTTAAAGGTCATACATAGTCATTTGTGGAATATGATTGTGTATGGTTTCTATGTCCTTGGAGTTTTAAAAATTGTGGCTTCTGACCTCTTATCTTTGTAAATAGCAAAGTCTTTTTGATCACGCAGGAAGCGCTGCACGTTGCGGGAGTGGAAATGCAGTTAACGGCCGCAGTGGCATTTCTGACCATCCTGCAGGAAGAGTCAGTGTCCATCCATGCTTATGCCCACTCCTTCCTCCAAGTTATTCTCCTGCACCTGGAGCACAGGGACGCAGGTCAGCACTCAGCATGTCAAATTAAATGTTTATTTATTGTTTCTTGTAAATGGTCATGCTCCTGTCTGGATTCTGTGAGCCTAAGGAGGATAATTGAGAGGGCCATGCTAAGACTAAAGCAGTGGTGTGACTTAAAGCAGCCATGGCTGTTCTTTTACAAACACCACAAAATTGAGTATCCTTGCAAGGTGAAGAGCTCATTAGTTCATCTTATGATTTGATTTCTACTTTCCTCTTAAGAGTTTTTTTTTTTCCTTTATAGGTGTGCTTATAGTAGTATCATACAGCAAAACAGCACAGTTTGGGTTAAAGATATCCCACATTACTTTTAAATTTATGAAAGTTTTCTAGATGTTGGCTAAGACAAAACATAGAACTTCTTAGAATAGTAATAAAATAATTGTATGTATTTTTATTTTATCATTAAATGCTATTGTACCTATTAAAGTCTGCGTTGAAACCACATTTGTGAGACATTTAGCCTGTTAATGTCTGCATCCATCAGGTGTCAGCAACGCATGGCTGGAAACTCTCCTGTCTGTGATAGAAGTATTGCCAAAAGAAACCCTAAGACATGAGGTAACACTGTGGTTTAAATTTTTTTGGTTTGGTAAATATTAATAAGTCTTAAGTTTTTTCTTTTGTCAAAATTGTTTTTAAAGGAATAAAATTGTTTTCCATTCTGAAAGCAACAAATGTTCATTGCAGAACATTTGACCAACACAGATAATAGAAGGAAGAAAGAGAATTCGTGGTTTTTTTTTTTTTTTTTCTGGTTTTTCTCCAGTACCAGGAACCGAACTCACGACCTTGTGCTTGCCAGGCAGGCGCTTTTGCCGCTGAGCTAAATCCCCAGCCCCCCCCTTTTTTTTTTTTGGTTTGAGAATTCGTGGTTTTATACTTGGACACTTAAGATTTGGTGTATTTCTTTTCCCTGTCCATGGTTGCTCCTTGCCGTGTTAGTAATCATGTTGAATCTGTATTATTATTTTCTACTTAGTATTATTTTTCTGTTATTTTAAACTCATTTGGTAGTAGCTGCAAAACAGTTTACTTATTAAAAATTCAAGGCTTTCAGCCTTAAAATTTATTATCAAAATAAAACATTAAGAACACCTCTGTAGAGATTATATTGTAATAAAATAATTTCTTTAACTGTAGAAAAGTAGAGTTACTGAGTCAGAGAGGGCATTGATACTAAGTTCTTCACTAATAATGTGCGAAATGCTGATACTCTGAATTTTTATCAGCGATGCTATTCTAATTTAATTTGTTGGTTTAAAAACAGAGTTACATCCTAATCAGAATTTTTAAATTATGCTCTTGGCCACTTTTTATATGTTAGTATCACTTCTATTTATTGTATTGGAATTATCTAATCTTACCTTTTGATCACAATTTATACATGCCACTTATCTGTTAAGGTTGCTAATTTTTGATACACTAGAAAATATATTGCTGTAGATATTCCCAATTTGTTTTTTGTCTCTTAATTGTTAACATTGTTCAGTAATTCTTCTAGAAAGGTTTTTAAGTAAATGAAGATGAGAGAATAGGAAAAATAGAAAGGAAATTTATCCTTTAATGAAATGGTTTTGCATTGTTTGAACATTATTTATATATTTCTTTTCAAATATGCCATGATTGAAAAAAAAAACCAGTTAGCCATTAAGGAAATGTCCTGTACTGATTTCATTAAGTGTCTTTGTCCTTCGTTTGCCCTCATGCACTTTTATTTCTACCACAGTGCCAAAATACTGGCTTGACAATAGGAAGATTTATCTAATTTTACGAATTTTTGTATACCTGAACTTCTTCCTATCTCAGCTTCCCAGAGTGTGAAAATGTGTGTTTCACAAATATACTTTATGTACATTTAGGTCATTGAAGAATTCATCATGAGCGTCAAGTTTTTGTTCCTAATTGATTTTAACTGTGTAATTTATTATCTTTAATTCAGAAGACAAACGAAGACATCCAGATTGTGACCAGTCGTGCACTTCAAATTGTAAATAAGGTTGTCTTAAAACATTTAGAACATTAAAATAGTCTTTGGAGCAAATAGCCTTTTTTGGAAGGATATGTGCAACTTTGTGAATCTGTTCTCTAAATCTCTTCCCTTTAGATTTTGAATCCTCTTGTTTCCAAGGCACAGCTGTCCCAAACAGTCCAGTCTCGTTTAATTAGTTGTAAAATTTTAGGAAAATTGACCAACAAATTTGATGCCCATACGTGAGTATTGTATGTATTAAATTAAGTTGATTAAATATGTAATGGCTGTATGGTTGATTCTGTTAAAGCTGTATTATGCCATACCACAAACAAGTTTAGCTTTTTTACCTTTATATGATTCCCAGAGAGAAATGTCCGTATTCAAAAGTACTTCTCATTATTCTGTAAAGCATCAGTAAAGTTAACTTAGCTTCTGCTTCCCATCTTAGTCTTCTTTGTCTTATTTCTAGTGTACTTTTGAGGAGAAAACAGCACTATAGCATTATTTTAGAACTTTCAAAATTGGTAAACATGATAAAGTTAGTATTTGTTCTCTCATACATTCTTATGAATTTTGTTATTTTGAAGTTTTATGAACCATGTTTATAACTTATATGCTACTCTGATCAGATGATAAATACCAAAGGCAAGAATGGGAACGTTATATGATTGTGACAGGAGAGTAAAATGTAAAGTTGAAGAATATTTTGGTTGATAGTTGCTGGAATCAGCTTCTTCCTCGCCACAGCCTACTATCTTAGCTAGGCCAATTCAAAATTGACCGTCATTTTTAATGAGTTGTTTATATACATTGCAAGTAATCAATAGCATCCTAATTTAGTAACATAGAAATATATTGTAGACTGTAAAGCCTTAAAGTATATTGTTATTATTAAGGTGATTTATGTGTCTAATGATAATTGTTTGAAAATACTCATTTTTGGAAACATTCAACCATTTACATGTTTCTTTTCTCCTCTCCCTCAGCATTAAAAGAGAAATACTTCCTCTGGTAAAATCACTCTGTCAAGATGTAGAATATGAAGTCCGATCTTGTATGTGTCGGCAATTAGAAAATATAGCTCAGGGAATTGGGTAAGTATACTTTCAATTCCTTATGCCATAGGCTTATTTCTGAGTTATCAAACAAACATGCCCTGTCCCTATATTTCAGGAAAGCATGCTATTGAAAGGTTGCACTGCTTGTGGTCTTTGAAAATGATAGCAAGTACTTCCTGATGTGTCTGGACTAAAAGAGATAAAAAGGAATATGTTTAGCTTGTTGTAGGCTTTCGATTAATATTAATTTCTTTCCCTCTCACCTTAATTACTTAGTTATTGATCCAAATACCCAGAACCAAGAAAAGTAAATGTCCCAGCATAAACCATGCTTCGGCTGTACATTGCATTTCTTCTGGTTCTCTTTCCTGGGCTCTGTTACTGGCTTGTTTCAGATGAGATTGTTTTCATGCATGTCTTTCTGTGTCCAGGTGCAAGGTCAGCCTCCACTCACTTCTTTCTTGCTGTCCTCACCCTTTGGGTGTGTGGAGCTCAGGAAGGAAAGGCCGAGGGCAGCCAGTCTGTCCTCTACAACCTGAGCCACACAAAGTTCTAAGTATGATATTAAAGGGAATCTTAGCCAAAAGCAATCTTTCTTGGGGAATTTTAAAAAATGATTTTAAAAATTGACACTTATTTTTAGTAGAAGCTGCACTGATTTCATCTAGTTCTTTGTTTCACAAATGAGGACATCAGGTGATGGTGCTTTGTACCACTGTTAATGTATTAAAAACCTAGGTAGATAGTTAAGGCTTTGGGAAAGCTTTAGGATGTCACACAGACTCAAGGCGAGGGACTGTCCTCTGTCCTGTGTCTGCTAAGTAGACAGAATTTAAGTGTTGAAGCTTACTGGTTCAAAAGAGTAATCAATTCCTTTGTTTTGTTCTCAGAAAAAACTTTGAATGAGTCTCTAAATCTAGGTGACACTATTTGGGTCATTGTGGAGCATAATTAATTCAGCTTTGACCAGATCTGTGCTTATCAGTCAGGAGAGCATACTGTCGCCTTAATCACTTTATCGAGATTTAGAATATGCATATATCTATTTTTTGTCAACTGACACTTTGTCACTGTCAAAAATAGAGGAGTGTCCAAATTAGTCTTTTGAAAATTAATGGAGGACTATTTAAGGATTAATTTATAAAAGTAAAATTAGAAAAAAAAAGCTACCTAGCTTGTTAAAGTTAGAATCCACTTAAGAAACTAATTTGCCTGATCTTATGCACATTTATTCAAGTTCTTTTTTCCTAAGAGCATAATAAAATTTTCATGTTATGAGAGCTCAAAACTACCAACCGTTGATACCTACTTGTGTTTGTGTTCCACTATTATAACAAGCTCTTCAAATAATCAATTTACAAAGAGAGAGGTTTATTTGGTATCGCAGTTTGGAGGTTTTAGTCCCTAGTCCATTTGCCCTGTTGCTTTGGACCAATTTTCTCCCCGGAGCCTGGAAGCAAAGGAGGAGGAGGGAGGGGCTAAGGCCCCACTGTCTCCTTTTAGGCTCCCTAATGACCTTAAACCTCCCACTAGGCCACACTGTCTTAAATTTGCTACCACTTCCAATAATAATCACGATGACAAAAGTGAATACTTAGCTCTAATGAAGAAAGAGAAAATTAATAAACTGCCATCAACTTATTGTCAAAAAGTTCTTTAAAATCTCCCTTCTCTAAAACAAGATTGAGAATTTGATGATGGGATGTATTGGGATGAAAAAGCTGCCAAGAAAAAGAAAATTTAAAATCTAGTTAAAATTAAGAAATAGTTTTGAAAAATTCAAAGTGGAATTGAAAATTCAAAGAAGCACTAAAAACAGCTAAGCACTGGTTAAACTCTATAGTCAGTCAGTGACTTAGAAGATGAATTAGCCTTCTCAGAATTCAGAAACAAAAGATACATGTGTGAAATTTAGAGAGAATCCATTAGGTATGCAGTAAAAGCAAGCGTGATCTTCCACGTGAACAGCTGATAATCATGATGAAGTGACTGCCTTGTACGATAGGTGCAATGTTCAGACAACATAGAAGAAAACTTCCTTCAAGGCCTGAGCATAAAGATGGAAGGAATAATCTTTTAGTCAGTGTCTTGGTCTCTGTCAACATCTTTTGTGAGTTATAAGTCATGCTATCTTCCAATCTTCAACCCAAGAAAGCTGGCCACATCGTAGGTCTCCTCTTCATCAAAGTGTGTATCAGTGGTAATGCTATCTTCTGAGGAATAAACAAAAACAAAATGCTAAATAAGAACTATTTGTGATCATATTATAAATGTTGTATGTTCCCCACAGGCATTTAATTAAGTTTCATTCTTTTAGGTAGATTATCAAGTGCCACATGTAATTTTTTAGCTAGATATTAGTTATTATAATGCCATGTTTAGGTAAATGGAAAAATAATTGGTTCCCTGAAGTCTTGATAAGATTTTATTTAGGAGACTGCAGTCACTGTTGACATTTTTAAAATGAGTCCAGAATGTTTCCTGAAGTTACATAAAATGGAAAACTGTATTTTAAAATTTAATATGAATTAGTCTTTAAAATCTCTGTGGGCAACACTATTATGCTGCGGAAGGTAGGACTGATTCAATAATTATGAAATTACTGTTAGTTTCTTCTTCCCTTCTTCTCTCTCAGTTGGACTGCAGGCTTCTGGAGAGAAGGAGCCGCATTTGTATACATCTTATTTTCTGCAGCACCTCACAGTCACTTGATATTTGTAATTCTTGCTACAAGTTTCTTGATTTGATTTCCCTTCTTCTCTCGCTTATTGTGTAGGACAGAACTTACAAAGAGTGTGGTGCTCCCTGAATTAATAGAACTCTCTAGGGATGAAAGCAGCAGTGTGCGACTTGCAGCTTTTGAAACTTTGGTAAATCTACTCGAGATATTTGACACAGGTAAATTTTCATGTGAATACATCTTTGCTTCAGAAGGGAGGAGGGAAATGGATTTAAGTTTTTAATGTTAAGTTTTATGATGTTAAGCCTCTTCTACTCTCTTCTGGTGATTACTTTTCTCTTGATATCTTTTCTGCTTCCACTTTACCCTCTTGGCATCCAGTCTTGCTGCATTTTCCATGCTTCTCTCATTTATCTCTTCAAAATTTAACTGATTTGTGTCAAGGCCTAAGAATTGGGACATAGCCTTTAATTTTCTGAGCAAAATGAGATTTGCCTATAACAATGTCTAATGAGAGTTTTCTCTCAATAACATTTTAATGCCAGAAATGTAGTCATGGGAGGAGAAATATGGAGAGGAGTGTCAGTGGGACTGGTAAAGTGGTACTTTTTAGCCAATTAAGTTAAAAAATAACTAGCTGCTCTGCTGAGTGTAGGGCTAGCCCCTTAACTAATGCTTGACAATAGGTTTATCAGTAAACATTAACTATTTTGGTAGGGTGAAATTTGGAGGGGTAACTGTCAAGACTTAGGTGCGAAACTCAGTTGTGGTTATTGTAAGATCATTTTCACTGGGATTACCACTGTTTCATCTGCACTAAGAGAGTCCCTTATAGGTTATTGCAACATGGACAATAATTACATATATTGCAGAATAATCATCGAAGTAGGATAAACCAATAAATGATCCAGGACTGAATGAATCTCTTCTAATCATGAAACATCCCCAGGCTCCAGACTAAAAACCTTGGCATTGTCTTTCATCTGTTCCCTTTTCCTGCCCCAGCCTGTCACCAGAGTCGTCCCATCCTCCACTCCTGTGGCATTGACACTCCTGTCCCTCTTGCGGTTAAGAGATTGCATTACACCTCCATGTGCCTCATGCTCTGCTCTCCCTGGTGCGCCACCCCCTCCTTTTTTCTCTTAGCCAACCTGTCCTTTTCCTATAGTTCCTATAGTCCCTTTCACATTCAGATTCTTCTATAGTTCACATTCAGATTCTTCTCTGACATTTTCCAAATCCTTTATACCATGGTTGGCACATTACAACTTGAAGGCAAAGTGTGACCTGTCATTGGTTTTTGTAGATAAAGGTTACTGGAACATAGCTGTAGTTATTTGTTGATATGAAAAGTGACAGAGTTGAGTAGTTTGGACCAGATAGCATGCAAAGCCTGGAACATTTACCAAAAACGCTTATAGACTCTTCCTTTATAGTATCTATTAAAACTGTGATCAAATTGTCTTACAGTGTGTGTGTGTGTGTGTGTGTGTGTGTGTGTGTGTATTTAGTGTCTTTGCTGGCTTGAATTTCTCAAGTTTAGGGACCATTTCTTAGTCATCTTTTTGTTTTCACTCAATATAATGCTTTTTCTGTAAGAAAACCAGTAAGTCATAGATAAGTGTCATTTAATAAAAACAGCCGCTATCGTCTGCAGTGTGATGATAGTAGTAACAGAAATAACAATAATATCTATAGCCTGTTGAAGGATTTATTTAATATTAGACAATTAAGGAATGCATCATTTCTGACAGTTTAAGCAAACTGTGAGAGGTCCGGGGAGTATTTGGAAATGAGACCTGAGTATTGGCAGTATACTGGAAGCTTATGACCTAGGCAGATATACTCAAAGAATTAACTTTTAAAGAGCCATCTAAAGAGTAAAAGTGGTAGAACAACATACAGATTATATTATAAGCTAACGGAACTTCAATAAAAAATGAAATGGTAAACTGGGCTTGGGCTGCAGCGTGGTAGGAGGTGAATGTGAACAAGAATTTTTATTTTTATTTTTATTTTTATTTATTTTTTTGTTTTTTTTTCCGGTACCAGGAACCGAACTCACGACCTTGCGCTTGCCAGGCAGGCGCTTTGCCGCTGAGCTAAATCCCCAGCCCCTGAACAAGAATTTTAAAAGTTCCTTGTGCCTGCTACTCATCCATTTATATCAAGGGTGTTAGAATTCATTTAGTTATTCAGATCAAAACCTCAGTCATCTTAGCTCTTTAATTGTAATAACTCTATATTAGCTCTTTAATTGTAATAACTCGATATTCTCCCCTTTTGATCTGCAGAAGTCCACTCAGTCTGACATTGAAAGTTTTGATAATTTCATCTATTCCTTTATCTCTTCTTCAATACACACCTTCATCTTCATTGTTTTTCCAGATATTTCCTATTATTGTGGGATAGCAGAAATTTTTCTTTCTGGAATTTGTGTATGTGTATTAGTTTCTGCAGGTGCATTGTGGGCAATGGATCTAAAATCTACATTGTTTTGTTTGTTTTCCAGATGACAGAAGTCAAACTATACTTCCCTTAGTGAAATCATTTTGTGAAAAATCTTTTAAAGCAGATGAATCAATTCTTATTTCTTTATCTTTCCATTTAGGAAAACTATGCCATGGACTATATGGTATGATATAGCCTAAGAGTTTCCAGACTGTGGATTATATTTCTATTCTTTTTTTTTCTACCTTAACCATGAATTTAACTTCTTAAGTTGCAAAACATATCCTTTAAATGTGTAAAATTTGATGATATCTAGAATTCTGATAATGTAGTTTAGAGCACATTTAGAAGTGAATTTTTTCTTGATAGAACCTATTTGAAAGAACAAGGCCAAACTATAAATAGCCTTTTAAATTTCAGAATATTTTATACGTATCAATTGGTATATGATAATAGAAGCTCAAGTTTATGAACTACTGATACAAAATAAGTATGCTCTTCTTAACTATTCATTGAAATAACATATGTATCATATAATTCAGTTTAAAATGTAGAGTAAATCTTGGCATTTTGGACATATTACTTAATTTCTAGCATACTATAATCACTTGAGAATAAAGTTATAATCTTCTAAGATAGGAACAGATTTTCTTTATGTGGATTGCAGACATTTAGTACATGGCTGAGAGACATGTTCCAATATATAATGAATTCTTAGCTGTGTGGGATAGTTAATGAATCTAGAGCTACCCACTGATCAAAAATGTTTGAATTCAGTTTTCTATCTTATAGAGCTGATTTTTAAGCTTCTTCTCTGCAGATATACATATCTTTTCTCCAGGCAATTTTAGCACTTACATTGTAGCTTTTCAGCATGTGAATAGAGAACATAAAAAAATTGCCATATTTGACACTTACAGCTTAGCATCATATCTGCTGTATATAGCACATACCAAGTAAATACAAGTGTGTGTGTAATTTATATCTGCCTTTAAATAAATAGCAATATGTATAAGTAGGCATGATACATAGTAACTTAATAGTTTTATACAAGCTATAGAAATAAATATAAGTGTAATTTCTGTATTACATAGTTTGTATTTTTAAAATTAAAATATTATAAAAATGAATATAGGATTAACCTATATGACCTGTTAGGTTTCTTCATAATACTCTTTCTTTATTGCTTTTATTTATGAACTTATTTATGGTTTTTATCTATAACCATTTATTTAAATACATGTTTCCAAAAATGTTTTTATTCTGCTTTGATTTTTTTCTTTTTAATTTTTATGTTCAATTGAAATGTTGAGCACAGATTTTATGTTTGTTTTAGGAATTTTTACTCCAGATCAACACTTGAGATTTTTGGAGTTTTATAAGAAGCTTTGTACATTGGGTTTGCAACAAGAAAATGGACACAATGATAACCAGATTCCTCCCCAAATCTTGGAGCAGGAGAAGAAGTACGCTTCAGTACGGAAGAACTGTGCCTATAACTTCCCGGTAATAAGTCCTGTGTTCATCTTCATTGAGCACTTTTCGTAACATAAAGAAGCTGCCATATTTGACACTTACTGCTTAGCATCGTATCTGCTGTATACAGCATATACCAGTTAAATACAAGTGTGTGTGTAATTTATATCTGTCTATGCTTAATTAGAATCATGTGCATGCTTTTGGGTTGTCCAACTGTGATTTCTAATTAAATTGTGATTCAGAGGATATGATTTTGGTTTAAGTAAAGTGATTATAATATTAGATATTGATGCATGCTTTTTTCTCCTTCCCATTCCTCTCCCTTCCACCTCCACCAGGCCATGATTGTTTTTGTTGATCCTAAAAACTTCCACATGGAACTCTATTCTACATTCTTCTGCCTTTGTCATGACCCTGAAGTACCAGTCAGATACACTATTGCTATTTGCTTTTATGAAGTAAGTCTGAAGACTCAATGCTGCTGTACATTTGCTGTTAATTCTATTTTTACTAGGTGCTTTTTTGATATTTTATGCACTTCTGTTTACAGATTTGTTATAAGACATAGACTCCATATCTCTTTCATGTTCTAGTCTTAAATCTTTTTTTAAAATTCCCATGATCTTCTCTTTTAGTATGTCTATAGACCCCATTTACATAAATACATTTTATTTATTTTGGTTCTGGGACTGGAACTTAGGACCTCATGCTTGCCAGGCAGATGCTGTGCCATCCCCAAGCCCATTTATTCATTTATTAAACTATTTGTTCAGTACACCTAAACGAAGTGCTAACTTTAAGCCAGGCATTGATTTTGGTGTATGGGAATAGAACCAGTTTTTGTATGTTTTATAATATTTACACTTAATGTTACACCTACACTCAAACATGTAGAACACATGGAAAATTGAGACAAATTATTTATATTTATTGCTTTTATTGCATAGGAATTGTTTTAAGAACATAGCTTTTAGATTCAGCGATCACAACTTTCCAAAAGTTTGAACAAAAGGGACTTTAGACTTATGAAGAATGTGCTTAACTTTTTAACCACTGAAGTTGAATTTGAGGGCTTGTTTTCTTGGTTGATAGCAGTGAGCACGCTCGTGCTATAGTTGCAGTAAACACAGATAAGCTATAACTTGTCAATTTCAGAACTGTCACATGACAACCTCTTAGTGAGTGGCATGGTAAAATAGTTCTTTTTTTAATAAGTTGTATAATGTATCTTATTTCAGTGAGAGTAGTTCATCCTCTTTGTGCTTGTGCAGCTAATTAAGATTCTTTTGGTTGAATAATATTCTTTACTTCTTTAACATATTTTCTGGTATGGGTGAAAATATGCTAATTGTACAAAACTGAGAAAATATTTCCCTTAAATGGTACAGTTATCTAAAATTATTCCAGTGTTGCACAGTTATCCTTGTAAATGAGAGGGGAAAGGGCAGAGGTTTGAGCTCAGCCTCCAAGGTAATGAGTGTATAGGCTGAATATCATGGACATATGCATTTTTAGACCAGTTGTCTCCAGAGAAGATTGCAGGAGGTTGGTGTTTGAGAGTACAGTAGTTATGCAGTACCTGACTTTCTGTTTAGTGTGACCTTCTAGCTCGTTCCTTTAATCTTTCATTTCACTTATATTTTATACTGGATATAATTTAGAACCAGATGAACAAACATATTGAAACATGTGTATATATGAAAGTGTTTCACAAGGAGGAATGAATTTGGAGATCTTGATCTACCTTTTTGCTGAATGGCAAGAGTCCATATGCTTCTCACAGCCGTACCATATAAATAGGCTAAGGATGCTGTTCAACTGCCTAAAATTAAGAGCCAGTTTTAGTTTGTCCTTTTAAATAATGAAAATCCACTGGTGAATTTAAATTTTTCTAATCTAGTCTTAACGCTAGATTCTGATAATCACTTTGCTATATTGTAACTTTATTCTGACTTTTCAGAAAAACATTACTTTGAAAATATTTTCAACAGGTCAAAAATAAATCATAGCAAAGGATTTAAAACACATTAGGTATCCAGGAGACAGTTTCTCCCCCCAAATAAAACTTAACAGAAGCCCTGTCCCTCCCTTTTTAAGGTTAAATAGAAATTGGTGAATTCACCATTGCAGGCTCTGGGCTTGTGTGGAGAAGGAAAGTGCCATTTACAAGGGGAGCTGGATTATTTTGTACTCTCTAAAGCCTCTCATTCTAATTAGAATCTGTAATAAGGAAAAGTAGAGTTGTTTTGTGTCCTTAAGGAGCTATTGCTATCCCAGTGTCACCTTAGGTCATCAGTAGAAGAGGCTCTGGGACACTCAGAACTAGAATAAATACTCACATGCCAGGGAGAGCCTCTAAGAGCCTTTTTAAGACTTAAAAATCAGAACCAGAAGCATCCACCGGCTTATTCACGCTTTTGATGTGAAAGTTATGATTCCAATAACATCCTCTGTCCTTCTGTCCTTCCCCACCCTAGATGTGCCTGTCCCAGCCTCCTCTGTCCACACACTCTAGGTTATGGAGCAGACCAAGACACTCATTAAGTTTTCTAGAAATCAAACTTTATATTCATATTATAACCTAGTTTTATTTTAGAAGTATCTAACAAAGAAGTATTTCAAAAAATATATTATTTTTAACTTTTAAATATCTAAATAGTCTCAAATCTGAAAGATTTCATTGCTGTATTTTAGGTGTCTAAACTTCTGAATTCTGGAGTATATTTAATACATAAAGAACTGATAACATTATTACAAGATGAATCACTAGAGGTAACATCTTCTTATTCTTTATCTTTTAATTTATTTGTGTGAAGTCCACATATATCAGTATCTTTATTTTTCCTGCTTCTTGAGAATTGCATGGACTCTTTCAGCTAACTGGCCCCAAAGCTTCAGATTAGCACACCACTGTATCATACACTGGGGATTAGCAGGATCCTTAAAAATATTAGGATTTAAAATAGATTCAGTTTTTAAATGAAAACATAGAGTTGTTTATTAAGCAAGATTTAGGAAGTTTCAAAAACTAGACAAAATAGCATCTTTAATTCCAATCACTTTTTTAGTATTTATATTTTTTCTATGTAAATATTACTATATTTTTCTCTATAAAGGTTTTTTACATAATTACAGTCATATATTACATTTGTATTTTTCCTCTTAGATTGTCTGGGGAATATTTTCCCTTCTATTATAGACTCGTGAAGATTGTGAAATATTTAGTTTTGATGCTATATTTAGTATTTCCCACTCACATAAATGATTACTAGTTTACTAAAGCTCAGCTTGTCCATATTTTGATATCATTGAGTATAGTACCCACTTTAAACACCCCCTTACCAAAGTTGGAAGGCAGTTTTTGAGCATACTAGCCAGGTGGAAGTAGCTGCCTCCAGTGTAGACTGTTTGAACAATATCAACAGTCACTAATTGTTTTTACAAAGTAAATTGATCAAGGCAAAAATCTAATATTTTCCAGTAAGATCACAGATTAAAAAGCAGAAACCCCAAAATGTTGTTTGGTAAATAATACTATCTCTGAGTAGAAATTGACAGGTAGAGTAGCTCAAGTAGGAAGACATAGTCATTGCTATAAGAATAATCACTATTTCTATTAAAAGGTACTAGATGCTCTTATAGATCATCTTCCAGAAATCTTGGAGCTTATGTCTACTGGTGGTGAAAGCAGTATTCAAGAAAATAAGGTAAACCCCATCTATCAAAACAGGCTTGGCATTTGTAAGTATTGTCCTACCTGCAGGGTAGCTGTGAGGAATCAGTGAAAGAATATGGAAAGCATATAAAACCATCCTTCCCCCTGGGGTGGTGAATCTCCAACCTGCTGTGCAGGAACCACGAGTGGGAGGTAGTGTATCTTCAGCTGGCCCGCAAATTTGCATGAGGCCTTAGCATGTAGAAAGGACAGATTGCTTCCCTACTTCTGAGCCTTGTTTGGGAGAATCACCATGGAATGTTGACAGTCACTTGAAACACCTAAAGCTTCTTCATTGAGTTCTTGTCCTACTTCTGAGGAATCAGATGGTGAGGCGACCATAGGCACCCATCCTGGTTTCTCCGGGAGGGAGGTGGTGTGGGAAATGCCCCCTTCTGAGTCATTGGTGCCTCTGGTCTTCAGAGGCCATCCAGTGGTTGTACTAGCGGTGTTGTGGTGCTAAATGTACAAAAAGCTGTGCACTGTTCTCTTTGTTCATTTCCAATATTTCTGCTTCTTGGGTGAATAAAATGGAGTGTATAAATTATTTGAAGATCCCAGAAGGAAAGTACTTCTCAAATACAGTATTTCTTATTGCTATGTATTGGCCATACGTGATATTTACATTTGTTTTGCAGTATTGATACATATATAAAATATACCCTATCTCGATCATTTTCAACCCCCTCCTTCCCACCACCACCCTATTCCCCCCGATCTTTTTCCCCATCTCCAAAGAATCAAATACAGTATATTTTAACCAATAAACTTACTATTTTTTATAGTAAATAAATAGAGCTTGTCACATCATGCTTGTAAAAGTCTGTAGGCTTTTGAAAAGCTTAAATTTCAATTATTACATTAACAGTTCTTATACTAGTATGATCCTTATTTATTATGTGTGGAGCTTGTATTCAGACTTCCAGCATTAATGATTATTTCAAGAATAATAGAGAGGACAAAAGGTAGGAGTTTAAGTCAAAGCTTGCCAGTGGTAATATATACCAAGTTTTACATTAGTCGGAAGAGTTGCCAAGAGTTCCTAATCAACCTGACAGGAAGAATGATTAGCCCAGTCTCTATTTTGAAATCTGATTCTGGGAACCATAAATTTTGCATAGGAATTTTTTTAAAAAAGTATTTTATCCACTGGACAACCATTTCCTATGACAACTGAGCTGCCTTCTAAACTCTGCAACCCCTCCCCAGTATATTCTGACATGAATGCTGCCGTTGATGGATTTAATCACTGCTGATTCACTCAGCCTTTTTTTTTTCAGCTGTCCTCTCTGCCTGACTTGATCCCGGCACTCACAGCTGCTGAGCAGCGAGCCGCAGCCTCTCTGAAGTGGAGAACCCACGAGAAGCTGCTGCAGAAATATGCCTGTCTGCCACATATCATATCAAGTGATCAGATCTACTACCGTTTCTTACAAAGAATGTTCACAATCATGATGACAAATGTGAGTTTTATACCTTTTGTCTGCTTCTGTTGAACTTATGGTTGATTTTGGCTTTACCAGATTCTTCACATTCTCAACATAGGGCGACAAATGCAATGTAGTCCATTCTTCCCAGGGGATGGCCCCTTCTCAAGGCTCTGAGGAGGGAACTTTTTCCCTTTGCTTCCTCACTGATTCTTCTTTTGATTGTCCCCCACCTGGCTAGAGGTGAGTGTGGACAGGTGGAGCCTGTACTTCTGCTTCGTTGTGTGCTGGGGAAATGTGCTCCCTGAAAGGCCCGCGTCACAAGGGACCTTCTCCTCTGAGGTGCCCCTCTGATGTACCCCAGCCTCGTTGTCACCACAGTGAGGCTGTTTTCCCAAGGTCCCATGATAACAGCGTGAATACATTTTCTTTAATGGATGGCTGTGAAACCAGTAAAATTTATAGTGAAAGTGTGAATGCCTAACTGTAGATTATCTTACTATCAGAGGCAAAGGAGTCAGGACTCATCCCTGGAAACAAGGTCGGACTAGAGCCTCAGTTAGTTGTCAGCTTTTTTCATAAAAAGTCCTCACAAGTCATTATACATTTAATATGATACCCTAATACCCATTTTTGAAGTTGAGAGAAGCTCCAGATGTTTCTGTTTTAGAAACTGAGAAAAGTATTTTAAGTTCTCATTAAGTAGATGATGAAGGCTAGCAGCTATCTCAAAAAGTCCAAAATCAATTTGAAATTCAAAGATTTAAAAAAGAAAAAAGTATGTATTATTGGTATTATTTCAACTTAAATAAAAAGTACTAGGCATCCACTGTATGAACTACCGGCCCTACAAGTTTGTCTCACATATTTAAGCACATCCTAGGGGGTAAAGTTTATGTTGTAGATATAACACTCTTACAGAGTGATCTCGACAGTAATACACAGTATATCCTTTTCAGTTTTACATTTAATAGCATGGGTGTACTACGTAGGACAGAGAGCAGAATTGATTAATTTTATTCAGCACTTACTTGTTTGAGTGCCTACTAGGTACCAGGTACTTTTTGGTGTTTGCCTTCTGAAGTGGGGATAAGTGCTATGTTAACAGATGGTGGTAGGTACTATGAAACTTGGTCTCATAATTGCTGGTGTCTACCTACTTACTTAGTAGGCATGTTTGTGTTTAGGAAACTTAGACTGTCTAATTATTCTGTATTCTTAGCTTCTCTTATCGGGAAAGAGAAATGGTTTACAGTGTAGAATATAAGTGAATGTCTTTTAGCTTGAGAGATTTGTTTTACTATTTTCTTTTATAAGCCCTTAATTTCATACTTTAAAGCAAATACCTGGTTACTGTAGCACATTTTCTGTGCTCAAAGGGAACACTTATTTATATTTTAGTTCCATACCTAATTGTCATAATATTCACTCATTCATTCAACAAAATTTATCAGTTGCTTAAATAGAAGATAGATATTGGGAAGTAGGAAGAACTTGTTCACATGGGAAGGGGAACAAGGGAGGGGAGAAGAGGAAGGGAAGGAAGGGAAGAAGGATTTATAAAAACAGAATGGAAGAAAAATGTGGAAACGCTTTTGTAAATGAGGAAGGGAAGAAGGTTGGGGGAGGGGAATGGGAAAAAATAAATAAGGTATATTATGTACAAGTACAAATTCCCCATGACGAATGTGATTATTATATATGGCAAACAAATACTAATGTGTATTAATGTGCACTCATGTGTACTAATAAAACACATTTTTGTTTGTTTTTTGAGACAGGGTCTTGTTATGTAGTTCAGACTGGCCCTGAATTCATTATGTAGCGTAGGCTGGCCTTGAACTTGGGAAAATCCTCCTACCTTAGCCTCCTGATAAAAAATTTTTTTCCAATAAAATTTTTTTTTTAAAGTGAAAATTCAAAAAAAATTATTGGATACTTACTGTGCGCCAAGTGCTATTTCAGGTGCCAGGAATACAATAGTGAAGAAAAGAAGACAAAGGAGTTAGTCTCATAGAGTTTACATTCTACTGGGGACATGGCAAAAGAATTATTCTTTAATATCATTTAATAACCAGTCCATATTAAAAGTTTACCAGTCAGCCCCCAAAAGTACTTTACAACTGTTTTATCCCCCGCAGGTCCTGATTAAGACCTATACCTTGCCTTTGGGTGCTGAATCTCAGTTCTCTTTTAATCTGTAAGAGTGAGCCCTCCCTGTTTTCCCAGGACATGGAATTGGGGAAGAGATTGGACAGTTGTCATACATATAGAATATTCTAACTTGTTACTGTCAGGTTTGCTTCTTCATGGCATTGATTAATTCATCCATTCTCCAAGTTTCTTGGAAACTGTAAAGATCCAAGAGCTTGCTGTGATTTAAGTTAAGCATTTATGGCTAGAGTACCTCATAGGTGCTGCTGTATATTTTACATCCTATCTAGACTGTTGTTCCACTGTAGGTGCACTCATGTAGTTATTGCAGGTGGTGATGGTTCTGTAGACTTACCTTTCTCCCTGTGAAATGTACTGCAGCTTGCAGCTGTTTTTCCCACACTCTAAGCACCCAATTTCTCACTAACCTCTTACCCAGGAATTTCAGCACCCACTGATACTCTAACTCAAATCAGTGATTGTACTAGAACTTGTAAAAGAGTGATTTTTAAAATTCTGTTATTTCTTAAGCATTTTTATGGTGTTCTTCCACAAAAAAAAAAAGTGCTTTCCTCCATCCACATGAGTTATTTGCTTACCTTGAGATGCATTTCCCAATGGAAAGACACATTGGAACTTTGACTTTTTCCTTCTGTCAATTTTCAGAGGTAGGAGTTGGTGCAATGGCCACTTGTAATAGTGATAAATGAATTGGGGGGGGGGTTGTCGCTCTCTTTTAGATGCATTTAAAAAATATTAAATGATGTTTTTATTAGTTGCAGCCATTATATTTGTTTTTAACTTCTAGTCTGAAAGGATATTCATCTTGTACTGTAAGGTATAATCTATATGAGGCCTAAACAACGCATATCATCATATTACTTGTATATATGCTTTTGAAGTGCTGTCATTATACATGAAAGGGAAGAAAAGAGTAGTGTCCTTTTATTTTGTTCACTATTTGCCTAAAATTAATTTTTAAGCCTCATTGTGTTTTTGATTATGTGTTTCTTATATTTTTGGTTCTAAACCATAGCAGATAACTTCTTTTACATTTAACAGTTAAAATACTGTGTGAAATAGTATGACACAAGGGAAACAGTCCAGGTAAAATGGGTGAGGACACATCAAACACTACTGTCTCTTCAGTGTAGCATTTTATTCTACCCAAGTTTCAAGGATTCTAACTATAAAAGTCTGAATCTTCAGTCATTGAATATTACAATATTTATATGTAAGTCAGGATGGTGAGCATGAACTTATAATTGACCCAGTATGCCTGGCGGAGAGATTTTTCTTGAATACATGGTTTGAATTCAAATCCAGTAAGAACAAATACTTGAATGCATTTAGAATAAAGGTTCTGCCCAGCGGTATGACAGGAATTCAAAGCGCAGAGGGGTTGGAATACTGGTAAGAGTGATTGACATGGTGACCTTCGTATTCTAAGTTTTATCTGTATCATGGGCCAGAAATCTCAGGAAGTAATATTGAGGTTGAAGAGCCAGAAGTAAATCAGAAAGATGGAAGAGTATATCCCCTCATGGAATCTCTACATTTATATAGAAGTGGCACATTTGGGGGAACATAACTGATACACAGCATGTTCTGTTTGTTGAATGGATAAACGTCAGAATTCAGGGAATGACTAAAAGAATGAGTAGCTGCTGCATATTTGAGGAATGCTTCATTTTAGAAGATGTAGCAAGGAAATGAAAGCCAAGTCTGAATGATTTGGACATGAGTGCCAAATTAAATTAATTTTGCAATATGGTGTATTAGTTGATTTTCCTGAGTGGTAGGAACATTGTTACAAAGATACTTCCAGCAGGATGTGTTCATTGACCTGAGAGGTGGTGAATACTTTTCTTTTAGCTAGTAACATTAATTTGGTGATGGGGATAAGTATATATAAAAGTATATATTAGGATAGTGTATGGTATTTCCTGTTTATTTCTTTTAGAATGTCTTACCTGTCCAAAAGGCAGCTTCACGAACTCTATGCATTTTTCTACGATACAATCGTAAACAAGAACAGAGACATGAGGTCATTCAGAAATTAATTGAACGTAAGTAATCATTGTTTTTTATTTTGAAAAAGAGAAAGTACCCAAACCAGTTGGCATTAATTAGATCTGACTTGCATTATATATTGTTTTGCCAGGAGTAAGTAAGCTGATGTTGGTATGTATCTAGTGTGTTCTTTAATTTGAGTTTTGTAGCTTAATTTGTGTTTGTTTTGGAAATCTTTATGGCAAGGTCATGTCTGTGGTGAATGAGAGTAGTAATTACTCTGAGCCTTCTTTTGTGAATTTGAACACTTTGAGAAATTAAAATATGTAAACTTGTATTGAAAGCCTGATTTCTACCTTGATGCGATAGCATTTGGAAGTAAAGTATGAATAAAGTACTTATTTATGAATTTACTGTCTATTTAATTCTGTTTTCAATTTAATAGAATTCATAGAATATGTTCTTTTAATTTTTCCTTGAATAGAATCAATAGTATATATGAATGTGAATCTGCCTGGGTGGTTTTAATGTCTTAGGAAATTAAGTCGGGGTTGGGGGTGTAGCACTGCCTAACATATTCTAGGCCCTGGGTTGATCCCTAACACTGTTTCAAAGGGAACAAAAACACCTATGCAAATAAAGTTAACGAATGTAAATATCTTTGAATTTGTTAGGGTCTAAATACAAGGTAAAAATCTTTAGTGAACTGTTAATTCTAAAAATAGTGACTCATACCTAGACTTGCTTAGTGGGTTAAGCATTAAAGCCTTGCTTTGACTATTATGTTCTAATGTTTTTGTTAAAATGTTATCCAACATAGGCAGATAAGGGGTTTTCTGGTTATTGAAATTTACCATTTTAAGCATGAGTCATCACTTCAAAAAAAATATTGAAGTACCTTATAAAATTCCATTTAAGAAAAGTTACGCTCAGTATACTTCAATCTTTCTTTTTGTCGTCTACTGTAGTTCAGTTTTCATTTTCCATTGGTAGGACTTGACACTTAAAATAAGTTTTGTTTTGAAAGAAGATTCTGTTTAGTTTTGAATGTTAAAAATTTTTACTTTTGAATATTTATGTAAAAAAGGAGATTATCCTGTAAATGTTGACCTGAATTATAATACTGTTTAATATGATTTTATCTACATCAAAATATTTTTAAGGAAATAAGTGGAAGAAAACAGTTGATTTGATTATTGAAAGGCTTTGAAGCTGGAAAGACCTGCATTTGAATTGTAGCTGAACTGAGCCTCTCTGAGTCTCAGTGTCCTTACCTTTTAGAAGGAATGAGCATGTGTATCCTATTGGATTGCTCTTCAGGGTCAAATGAGATATCATATATAAAATATTTAGCATGCAGTAAGTGATCAAAAAATAGTGCATCTCATCTACAGTAATTAAGTAATGTTTATTAAATTCAGTACAGTGTTAGTATAACTTTTTGTTGGTTTTCACTATGTTAGTGATTTTGGAGTCGATAAATCTGGGAAATATAATATGATTTTTACCTTTTTTGTATTGTCTAAACAAGGTGTTTGTATAAACAAGCTTGTCGTAGATATTGTGAGTTTAATTTTTTCAGGGATAATTTCATGTGGGAAAAATCAACAGATGATTTATTTGTTGTTGTTATTTCTAGAACTGGGCCAAGGAAAAAGTTACTGGAATAGACTTCGATTTTTGGACACCTGTGAATTTATCATAGAGATTTTTTCAAAATCATTTTTCTGTAAATATTTCTTTTTACCTGCTATAGAGCTGACACATGATCCAGTAGCAAATGTGAGGTATGTTGCCACTCCAAGAAGATATTTGAAAACTGTTTCTTATATATCTGTTATAATGAATACTTGCAAATATTCCGTAGTCAATATACTTGCAATACTTTTCCTTAGTCAATTAAAAAATCAAGTAAAGAATTTATAATTGCTTTCAAATTTTTAATATTTTTTTTCTAAAAATTAATAGTTGTACATATTTATGGGATACACTGTGCTAATTTGATACATTTATACAATGTGCAGTGAAAAAAATCAGGGTTTTTTTTATCTCATTAAATATTATTTCTTTGTGTTGGGAGACTTCAAGCTCCTCTCTTGTAGTTCTGTGCATAATAAAGTTACTATAAGCTACAGTTACCCTAGTGCTGTAGAAGATTAGAACCTGTTCCTCCTAACTGGATTTTGGTGCGTTATCTCCTCTCCACATGCTCCCCACCTCTCCTCTCTCTAGCATCACTGTTCTACTCCCTAGACCTGACTGTTTCTAGCCTCCGCATATGGGGTGAGGTTGTGTGGTGTTTGTCTTTCTGTTGCTGCTTATTCCCTTTACATACTGTCTTGCAGTTCATCCATGCTGCTGCAAATTACAGGATTTCATTTTTTATAGCTGAAAAGTATTCCATTGTGTAAAACTATGACATTTTCTTTACCCTTCATCTGTTGATGACACCTCAGTCGATTCCATATCGTGGCTGCTGCAGTAAGATCTCAATGGTCTTAATTGATGAGTATCAGTAGGACTTGGAAATGTGCTTTTCAACACTGTCTCAGATCATTTGTCTTTTTGAGCCAAGAGAGCAGAAAGTCAAAGCCAGGTTGGCAGGGTCTGGCTACATGCATTAGCATCAGGAGAAGGTTAAGTAGCTATTGTTAATTTATCCGTCATTAGGATTAAAGACACAATCAGCAGCAGCCTTGTCACTTCACAGTTGATGTGAGCATCTGTCCATGCTGGGACCCATTTATTTAGGGAACGGGGGCTGCTCTGAAGTCTTGTCTCACACTTTTGAAGTCTAATAAATTTTAATTGGATTTTATTTGGAACACACCTGAAAATGACTTCCTTGAAAAAAAGAATAAATATATTTTGCATTTTTTTCTCTCTTCAAATAAGTAAAGGTATTATTTCCTTCTGTGGTGTGACATATATATGACAAAATCTACCATTTTAAAATACATAGTTTGGTGGCATTAAGTACTCACATGGAGTCCACTCATTAAGTCCACTCATATGGACTTAAGAGCCATTTGTACATTTGTTAATGAAACAAAAAGAATTTTAAATCCTCAGCTATCAGATTTCGGTGTTCAAAGTCTGCTTCTGTTCTGAACTTGAAACAAGGGCTGCTGGCCAAAGTTTTCCCTGAACAGAATTCTGCAGCTCCCCATTGAGTTTTCACAAGCGAGCCACATATAGTTTTATGGTGTGTGACATATGTGCATCCTTTTGAACACTGGCATGGATTGTAGCAATATGCAAAAGATTATAATTTTTTAATAAGAAAAGTTGTCAAGGCAATGTACTGGCCTAGATTGGTCATCTTACTGTTAAGGTCTGCAGCAAGAAGACATCAAAAGATATTGAAAACTGTATTGTAAGAATTTTTTGATCCCCTTCCTATTTGAGGAAGATGTAACTCCCTACTTCCTGTTATCTACCTTTTACTTTGTTCTCTAATTTGAGTTTCTTGTATGAAAAAACCAAATGATATTTAAGCTTTTGTGTCTGATTTATTTCACTTAACATTGAAGGGAGTGGGGAGAAAGGGGGAGGAAAAGGCATGAGAAAAGGACATAAGATGTGTTATGTCCATGTACCAATTCCCCACAAGGAGTATAAAGATTATGTAATGCAGACATGTACTGGTAAAGATAATAAGTTTTAAAAAGAGTTTTTGAATACTGCTGCCTAGGAACGAATGGAGAGAGTGGTTTTGTATGTTTAGTGTGAGAAATACAGAAAGCATAACCATCAGTTGTCATAGTTTGTGCATTTTTCTTGTGCTGTAAGTGAGTGGTGAGGTATTTCTGACATCTACTGTAAAGTGCAAAGAACCCATTGACAATTCTTAAAATGTAGCTGTTTCTAATCAATTGGGGAGTCTGACCATATTGTTACCATTTTGTAAACTGAAGTTGTAAATCTAGAAAAACAGCTTTCAAGATGATTAATTATCACTTATCAAGTAGTTGGCAAAAATAATTCGAAAGGAAATGAAATCATCTCTACTCTGGGCCCTGACAAATAACAGTTCAGACTCAGAGAAAGCAGTCTGCCAATTCAAGAACCAAATGAAGACTAATTGAATATCACTTCATGAATTTTGGAGACTTGGGAGTGCTGAGCTTGTTGTAGAGCAGTTTTTCTTGGTTCCCATTCTCCTGCCTGGGGAGTTGCCAGGCAGAGAGACAGATCCAGCAACACCATATAGCACCTGGCTTTTGGGTACCAAAGCCTTTTTTCAGTGCAGTAGGAATGCGCAGACAAAACGAAAGCCATCACAGGGAAGGATGGTAGGACCGTGCCGGTTAGGCTAGTTTCTGGACCCACATTGCCTGAGGTAAAATTCCATCCGTAGACTAGCTGTGTGTCTTTTGGGCAAGTTACAAAACCTCTCTGTGCACTGATTTTCTTTGTACCTAATTCATAGGGTATTCTGAGGAATACAGCTATGATGATACATATCAGAATTTAGTTTACCAGAAAGACTTGGTCCCTAATCTCAAGAATGTGATAATTTTATGGGCTCAGGAATCTCACAAATATAAATCACCACCATGGCTTTTGTAGCTTCTGCTAAATATAATTTTCTAGCTGGGCATGGTGGCACATGCCTGTAATCCCAGCACTTGGGAGAATCATTGTGAGTTCTAGACCAGCCTGGGCTACAAAGTGAGCTCAAGGCCAGTCTGAACTGTATAGCGAGTCCCTGTCTCAAAAAGACCAAAAAAAAAAAAAAAAAGTCTATATACAGCTGTGCAATAAAAAATGAAGTATGTATTGACTGTTAACTTCCATAAGTGAACATTTGAAATTTAAATTAACTGAGTTTAGACACTATCAAGGTTAGACAAATCCTATTGGTATTCAGAGAAGCCTTCCTTTGAGACTGTAAGAAATGAAGTAGTTTCCTTCTGGCAAGCTGGGCCCCCATGATTAAAGTGTCACCAGTATCCGGAGGCCACATTGCTCTGCACTGCGTTGAAGACTCTAGGGGCGGAGCACCTGCACCATTTTAGATGCATAAAAAGCAACTTCGGTTGTACGTGAAGAATCCGGAACTGAAGGTTCTGCTGAGAAAGCAACTAGCAGACTTGGAATGGGAGCAAAGCCGATGTGGAGAGCATGCAGATGAATGAGTGAATGCAGCAGCTGTAAGCGAGACAGCCGCTGAGCATCCCTGACTGAAACTAGCCCCAGTGGAGGGGAGGCGGAGGTGGACAACACAAATGTTTCCTTTGAGCCACTCCTGCAAGGCTCTCTTTACTCTCGTGGGTCTCCTCTTCCCTCCCCATTCTTCAGCCTCCTGGTTTCTTCTTTACTCACCTAGTCTGTATCTCGCCTTACTGCACGGGTTACCTGAGTGGGACTCTGTCCACTCTCATGGCTCAGTGTCATCTGGAGGCTGAGATCCTGACTTTTACCTCTGGCAAGGACCTCCGCCTGGACCATACTGACCGAGCCAGCTGCTGCCGAGCATTGGCCTTGACTAGATGACTGGCGCTCCAGGCTTAATCTGTGCACAGTTCCATCCTGATCTTCCCCTTCTGCAGTCTTCTGCAGCTCAGTAAATAACCATTTCATCTTCCTACTTGCTTAGGTCAAAATCCTAACTCTTTTCCTCTTAATCTCTCCACATGCCCCATTGCTTGCAGAATGTATCCCCAATCCATCACTTTCTACTATTACTCTGGCTTAATTCACCACCAGCTTTTTCTCGAGTTATCGCAAGGGCCTCTTCTATTGCTTCTGTTCTCTCCGTTACCAGTCTGTTCTCAAGATGGCAGCTCATGGAAACTTCTGAAAGTCAGATCACTTCACCCCCTTGCTCAGAACCTTCCAGTGCTTCTTGCTGTACTCAAAACAGAAGCCCGTCACCCTGCACTGGCCTCTTGTCACCACTCTGAGGTGTCCTGCTAACTGCACTTTCGCTCTGTTCTGCCACCAAGGCCCATTTACTAATGTGGACCTGTTTACTGGGGCAACAAGGAGGCAAGGCCCCCCAACCGTGAGTAACGTTCTCTAGATACTTGAGCTGCCCCTACTCTTCTTTCCCTGCTTCATTTTTCTCCGTAGCACTTGCCATTTTGTCTAGTTGTTTAATCTCTCTTCCCTACCCTTGTACTTGAATGAAACTCCAAAAGAGCAGAGAATTTTATTGGCTGTGTTCACTTTTGTATCTCAGTGTCCAGACTAGGGATTTCTTGTTACATAACAGGCACTCCACAAATATTTGCTGCCTGGGTAGAGGAGCCTCTGGGCTATCTAAAACTTGAATTTTCTTTCAGTTGTACATTACTATTACTCTTTGTTATTAGAGTCACTCTAATACTAACTTATTACAGAATGAAACTTTGCTGTCTGTTGCCCAAAGTGAAATCAACTCTGAAGATTCCTGCAGATAAGCATCTGCTTCAGCAGTTAGAAATGTGTGTGAGAAAACTCCTGTGTCAAGAAAAGGATAAAGACGTGCTGGCTATCGTAAAAAGAGTAAGTATCCCTTTTGCCTGCGTTGTGTATTGCAGTAGTAGCTTTGGCACTTTAGCTTCATAGGACAGTAGTGTGTTAAGATGTTTATATCTTTGCCAGAGTAGTCTTAGCGAATTATTTGAGTCATGTCAGCTACAAGTGGTTATGAAAGTATCTTCTAATGGGCCTCTAGATATCAAGCTTTTATTACCGGGAGTACAAGCTTCCCAAGGGAGAACTTAGCATGTGCTAAACGATCAGTGAACACGGCTAGATTAATAATGAATGCTTCATTCACTAGGTTTCATTTACAAGTAATTACAGTGTAGTAAAACTCTGTTGGTAGAGTTGGGAACATTAACTTTTATACAAACAGCCTTGGAACAGCCCTCAGGAGTTAGTTCAGTGGCCTGTTTGGCTTTATGAAAGTGTAAGTCCTAGAAATTCTAGGACTCAAGCCTGCTCAAGATTGTATGGTAAGTAGCAAAGCCAGAACTGAAACAGAAAACTTTCGCCTACCCTGAGCACATTTCTTTTTATATAATGTAACATTGTGTTTTATAATTTTTGATTTTGTTTTAGTGTTGTATCTTATATGGACTGTTTTGGAATGTTGGAAAACCAAAACTTTAAAAGTTTGAGTCAGTGAACTCAAACTACTTTGCAGTTTTCAAAAAGTTCCTGTACCAAATATGTCCCTAATATTATTGTAAGAACAAGTCATATTAAAGTGGTTACTTTTATGAATCTGAATGTGAACTTTAGAACATAGTTTTTGAGCATTTCTTTGTAGTTTGAGAGATTAATTTATTAACGTTAGAAATCAGTGGTGGAGAATCTTTTAGAGCTTTCGATGATGCAAACAGCATACTGTGGCACATAAGCGCTGGGCTTGCCACCACTGTTGTAAGTAATTAGCATCAGTGGTGAGGAAAAAAGTCTTGCAATTTACCCTACTCGTTGTTTGCTAGAGGTCATTGCTAATGTCATGAGGAACTTTTAATACAGGGACTTGATAACTCAGTATGATTATATTTTCTTGAAACGTGAATTCCTTCTTCATCAGTAGAAGTAACCAGAAATACGCATATAAATACAACTGAATTTAACACACACACACACACACACACACACACACACACATTTGTTTCTAAAAGACATGTCTATCCTTAGTGTTTGCAGAAGTTTTGGCATTTATTTCAAATTGTCAAAATACTAAACATGAGTTATTTACTTTTCCAAAAGAAGTTATTAATTCAAGAGATATTATAAACAACCTCCCTAGATATAACAGTAATTAAATTAATGAATTATTATCTACAGTGGGGTTCCTTTGAGTTACAGCTCTAGGATGGGAGACTGTGCAAGATACACAAAGCTTTGGGATAAAAATGGAGTAACTTCCTCCAACCAGCTTTTTAATATAGGAAACAATTTTACTTAAAAAGGGAGTACTTAATAAATCCATTTATTGCAGGAACCATAAATTTTTCATAAATTTCTGTATAAAAAATTTCACATAAATTTTATTTATAGTACTCAGCTTTGGGTATATGAATATATCGATGTACTTTATGTGGCCATTAAAATTAACCCTTACAGAACGAGCTTTAGAAGCACAGTTCTCTATCAGAAGTAGAGTCCTTGATCAAATTGGTCATTGTTTGACTGGGGTAATTTATTTCAGAATAGTGTATTCAGAAACATAAATATTAAATTGCCAGAATACTTTCAGAGCAAAGCCTTTTCTGCTGGTTATAGTGTCATCATGATAAACAATTTTGTAGAAGAAAGTAAAACTTTAAGGCAATTGATAGCTCACTTTATATATAGTTAAAAGACTTTTTTAAAAATACAAAACTGAGGCAGGCATGGTGGTGCACACCTGTAATCCCAGCACTCGGGAAGCTGAGGCAGAATGATAGCTGTGAGTTCGAGGCCAGCCTGGGCCACATAGTGAGTTTAAAGCTAGCCTCAACTATAATGAGACCTTGTCTCAAAAACAAAAACAAAATAAAACAAAAAAACCCAAAAATGGTATTTCTGAAAATTCAGAAAAGATTGGCTCTGAGTTTTACTAAAAATTAAACTGC